CAGTAAAATCATTCTTTTGGCGTACAAAAAAAATAATGATAAAATGTATATACAATTTGTAAGAATTTGTTCTTAATTTAGGAATTAACCACGAGATAAAATTTGCTCAGAGAACGTGTTAAGAAAATTATATTTGAAAAAGTAATATTGACAAGTAATATCGATCACTTGAAAATCACGAATTTGAAAGAGTTTGCTTTTAATTAAACGCGAGAAAATTAATCACTCTCGCGCGCACTCGATTCACGTTTCCAAAAGGGTTGAGATTGCGATACATACGCCCGTTGGTCTCTCGTGTCATGCCGCGACGGGGCGTTCGTTTTATCATTCGAGCGAGGCGTCGACGGGCATCGACACTTTTATCATTCCGCGTAATATTCTACTGAATGCGTCGTAGGGCCATCGTATCGTGACGTTCGTTACATTCGCCCAGCTAACGAAATCCAATCGCGAGTGATAATCGAATTTCAACGATCGAGCTTGTTCGCAGGGAACGAGCTCGTCCGAATTGTCACTCGACGACGTGTGTATCCTCTTTTCGTCGATTCTCTTTTATATTCCTGGCAATCATGACCGAGAATCGGGAATCCGTCTCGTTTGGCGCATTGAGAGAAAAAATATAAATGTAAAAATTGTAATTATTTAACTATATTTTATAGTTTTATTTTTGGTGTCAACTATATTTTTTCTTTTATAGAATTGTAAATGTAATTATACTGTGCGATAAAATGACTTTTTCAAACACTGAAACAAGATTAGTTAGTTTTTAAATAGTTTTTTGGATGCTGAATATATAAATGCGTTTATTAAATTATTGCATCACGTCACAATTTTGAGAAATTTGTAGTTCGATGCGAAAGAGAGGATAAATTTTGTCACATTATAATGGCGATGTATGACGTACTGGAGAAGTTTTATTGCAATCAAAATGAAGTATATTACGACTTTCAGCTTTCAAACGGATTTTTTAGTGTCGGCTACAGTTAATAGAATATTCATAGTTAAATAAAAGATAATAAGTATAAAAAAAGAGATTAAATAATAAATCAGAAAAACTGTGAATTAAGTCATCGATGATTTAACAAATATCTTTCGACTATATGTATTTAAACTTAAAAGGTTTTAGATCGTTGAATATATAAATCCAATTTCCAAATTATAACAAAATAATAAATTTAATATAGCGGATGTTAAACTTGAAAAATATCCGGATTATTATAAAATGTAGAAGTGTCTTTCATGATTTTGAATTTATCAATTTGACATCGGATTTGAATACAGCGACCTAAAAAATCTTTATGTTTAATTAAAAATAATTAAAAGTTATTTCATAAATGTCACTTTTTCTCAATAAATTTCATATTTAACCCTAAATATCTTATTAAACATAGTTGATACTAAAAAATAAATTTGAAAATTTTAACAAGTTTAATTTTAATTGCAATGAAATTTCTCCAGCACGTCACCTCGTAATTATAATATAATAAAATACGTAAAAATAGCTTTCTTTTACAACTTTAAATTTCTCAAAATTGTGATGTGACAATTTGGAAACTGAGTTCATATTCAACATCAAACAACCTACGAGAAATGACTAGTTCTAGTACTTTTTTCTATCAAACAGTGTTATTATTACCAATATTATACAGCAGCCTTGGCTGTAAGTATTCTTAATTAGTTGCACTTTCTTAGAAAAGATGATATAATAAAATTCAAAAGAAAATTAACAAGATATTAAAATTATTGCAAAAATAAATTTTATTTTTCAATAAAACCTTCAATTTATTTTTCGTTAGATATCGAACGTTTATGTGAATTTGTGAAAGTGCTTTATACTTTTTGCCAAGGTTGTAACAGTAATAACGAGAAAAATGGGTTAACCCAACTCTTAATCGTAACAACCATAATTAGTTCATCATGTAATTAGGGCCACAAATACTAAACCCTTTTCTCTGAATGCAAAGGAATAACATTCCGCGAGGACGTTTCCCGGACGTTTTGACGTCGCACTCGTGAGACAGCATTCTGAAAAAACTGACTCTGAATTCTTTAGCAGGTTAGAGGAGGTATTCTGGAATCTTTTTCTCCGAAGAGAGCAAAAATATGTCAGGAATATTTCAAGAGAGAGAGAGAGAGAGAGATTTTTGGATACATTATATTCTAAAGATAGAAGATTGCATAGAAGCATATTTCTGATGATTCGAAGCATAATTCTGAAATGACTCCTTAATGCATAATAACGTGCTTTTTCTACCCCGTGCGGGCCGGATTATTCTAAACAACGCGCCCCAAGAATACTTCTCTCCTGAGAATAAAAATCGGGAGTAAAAATATTTTCTCTCTCATCTCGTGTTCTATTCCAGCAATCCTCCGTTGGTTCTGGAATGCTAAGTCAGGAATTCTCGCGTTCCCTTCCCAGGAAATATCATTCCCGCGCGCGATCATGGTGATTAATTCATTGGCGAAATGAAAATTACTGCCCATTAATAAAATTGAACATAACGATGACATAACAAATTGGTAATCGACAAGATGCGTCATGTTTTCACGTGATGAAATTTTAAATGCTTTTGATGTTTTGATACTAATTGTAAGATGATATTATGCAGAAAAATTTGTCAAAAATCGTTCCATCTGACGAGAGAGAAGTACAATACTTTAACTATAAGTACAATACATTTCCACAAAATCGTTCTATTTTATTTGATTGGAACAGAAGTTCATAGCACTACGAATTTCAAAATTCAAGCAGCTAATTTTGTTAAAAATGAACAAATTTAAATTTCAAAAAAGGGTTTTGAAGGCTTAAAATCTCTACTTTCAAAAAGTCATGATGTCCTTTTGAGTTTCTGTGAATTTGATAATTTTTATATATCTAGGAAAGTAACGAGTTGAACAAAATGGGAAATTTTCTTCTCACTTTATGGGCCTGCCACATGCCCAAAAAAATTTACCGCAATTTTCGACTTTCTAATGTAAAAACTTAAAGTTTTCCCTATAAAATCATTTTTTTTTAATGTTTCTAAAATTTTGTGTTACTGAGATTGCGGATTAAATAATAGGAGCGTTAAAATTTTTTTAAATCGTTCATAACTCCATTAAATGTTATTGTGCCGCAATTTAAGAAATAGATTTTTAAAGCTAAAATTTATCGAATAATATAATTGCCAAATTTTTAAAAAAATATGTAGATATGCTACAAATGAAGTAGCGCTACGAAGTTTCTAACCTAAAATAAAGCCATTTGATTAAAAAATAAATTAAAAAGTTTTATTAAAAAATTAATATTTATTTTAATAATAATTTTAATATTTTGTTAGTTTTCCTTTAGCTCGTATTACCACTTTTTCCAAGAAAATGCAATAAATTGAGATTCCTGTATACTTATAGCACAGACTGTATTTGAAGTATAAACAATTGAGACAGAGAATTGCTGTCACAATTAAATTAATTCTCTCTATCAAAACATAACTGGACTTTTGTTGCATAATTGAATCACCACTTTCATTATTATTCATCTTGCTGTCATTTTAATTATTAAATCGAACAAAGGGAAATTAAACGCGGTAAACCAGATATAATAGCTTCTTGCTTTGCAGGAGAACGTCTGCCTTCGTTTTGGTAAAATAACATTTAACGCGCTGTGCCCTTTAGCACTTTGCATATATGCCCTTTAGCTGCGAAAGGCGAAAGGGATAGTAAAGTCAGGCTTACGCAACCCCATCCTTTACTCAAAATATACATAGTGCCCTGGGGTTGCGTAGCCCACGCAATGAACATGATACGCGTACCGGAAGTAGGTACATACACTCACGTGACCTACAACCTTTCGGAGCTAATTACTTGTCAAGCTATTGAAGCGTCCGGGGGCGTCTCGTTCTTGTTAGTTTCCTGAAATAGAGTGTATCGGGTTCGTTTGTTTGTCTTCGCAGTTAGTCAGGTTGTAAGACAGGTGTGATACAACAATCGATTCTCGATAAGCGTAAACGTACTGTTGTGCACTCGCCTCAGGGCTGCGATGATGGATGCGCGAATCAATGCGAAATGGATGTTCAAATTAGAATTCAAATTTATGCTACTCCGAAATGTATAATCTCCCCAAATATATTATATTATCAGTAATATTTAAAAAAGATAAAAAAAATTGAAATCTCTTTAACGTAACTTTAATGGAATGTAATTAACACCTAAATTTACATGAAAATCTCGTTAATGTTTCTGTCTCCGGAATGAATAGAAATTGTCAATATTTGGAGCTAAATTTAAATTTATATGAAGGATGAGTGACTTAAATAAATTCAGATTTTCTGAAAACGCACGTATACGCAACAATTTACGTAAAAAAGTGTCCAGTTTTAAAATAGTCCCGGATAAAAACAATTCTTCAATCGATTGGATGAAATATTTCAAAACAAATCTGTTTCTCCGGATTTAAATAAAAAAAATGAACAATGCTTATAGAAAGGTAAACAATCGTGCTAAAATTAACTCGAAAGGGGATATCAAATTAAAATTCGAATTCATACTGTAAAAATAATCTTTATAAAAGTATCATGATTAATATTACGTAGCTTCAAACAATATGATACGAATTCTTTAATGTAATTTTAATGAGATATTATTAAAACATAATTTATATTAAAATCTCATTTATCTCTTTCGCCAGTTGAATAAAAATCAATATTACGAAATGAATTTATACAAATTATGAAGGATGGATGAATGTAAATAGAATCAGATTTATTTCTGAAAATATGAGGAAAAAAATGAGAATTTAGATATTTATGTATACTTAGAATAAATGTACGCAAAGCTGATAATGAATAAACTTTAGGCGTTCCAAGATCCCGACGATCTCGCGGAATACCAGCTCTCGTTATTAATCCCCAGCGCTCGTAAATAACGTCGAGCGTCGCGAAATAACGACGAAGTGACTCCGCGAACTTCTCAGGCAGCTGAGCAAACAATAAGTTGCAATCGATCGAAATCTCAAACTTCAGTCGCAGCTGTCGAACGTCGGAAATCCGTATCGGCCTGCTACCATGATACGCTCCTGCATCCCGAGCGGGCTATCGCGCGTGAACGTCAACGTCGTCATCGACATCGAGGCGTGGTGACGCGACGTCGGCCGACGATCTCAGTTCGCCGGCAACGGGCGTCGCGACAGCTCGCGCCGTAACGCGGGAGGAAGTTTGGCCGGAAGAAGAGATTGCACCCCCGAGAAGAAGAGGGTGGACTACCAAGGGGGGGGGGGTGCGAAGAGAAGACAAGCAAGGAGGACGCGAAGGAGAGGACGAGAGAGACGTGCAATTCCACGACGAAGGGGGTGACCGAGGGAGCACCACCGAGGGGGGGGGTGGCAGCGAGGAAAAAAGGTGGGGGCGAGGACGAAGTCAGACGGGGGTCAGCGGGTTAAAACACGTGGATGCTGTGGCCGGTGTTGGGGGGGGATGACGGGCTGAGCCCCACAGCGTCGCCCACGCCGGCGGCGACCGGCGCCGTCTCCTCCGCTAAGGGGGTGAACAAACTGACCCCTCTGCTGCTCTGCGCCCCCTGCAAGCCCGGTGGCCACCGGAAGAGCCAGAGCTCCACCCAGTGGTACGTGCAACAGGTAAAGAGACAGACGGATGACCGGATGGCATCCTGTTGTTTTGCCCTTTCTTTCGTTCGCTCGTTCTGCTACGTTTTCGTTGACGACTGTTTGCCGTATGTTTGTTTGAAGCGGGAGAGTCCTATGGAGATTAGTTGATATGCAAAGAGATTATGGGATTATGATAATGATTAATTATTCAGCGCGATAAGATCGATTCTCTCGCGTTCATTCGTGAGTTTACACCTATTTGGTTTGTTTCCTATTCGATTTGCCAGCACTTTTGTCATTGAGCGAAGCTTGGTGTATGTTCATACGTATGTTCATGTGTTATACATATGTATTTCTCGCATGAGAGGTGTATCGTAATGCTCCCGGTAATACGTTGGTAAACACTCGAGTTAAGCTAGCTTAATCGTGAATTCCTCAACACCGAAAGTGGAGTTCTCAATGTAACATATGATAAATTATTCATCAATCGATTCTTTTTACATTAGTCTTATCTACGTGGGAAACAAAGATATTGTATTTACAGCAACTGTATATTTAGTTAAAAATAATCTTGTTAGTTTAATAGGAAGACAAATAACATTTTGAAAGCAGTAGTTTAAAATGGTAAAATAAACTTATATATGCATTTTTATCAAGTACAAGTTTTTACCTGAATATATTTTTTTTAATTAAAATTCATCCAGTAATAAAATTTTAGTTTAACACTTTTTCGGTGAGGTCCGATGACAAAAATACAAATTGCAGAAAGTTTGATGTTTAATCGTGAATCTTTTCCTTGATAAAAAATTTGGAGTTCAATCAGAGAATGTGTTTATCTTTATATTCTTCATTCTCAATGTAACGTGTAATGAACTTAGTTATTCATTAATCGATTCTTTCATCCTGATTTTATCGACATGGGGAAAAAAATGATTTTGTATATTTATGTTTTTTTATATTTATTTTTAAGGTTCATTTCGCGAGACTTGATGCGAATCGCTCGGAAAGTTTGGTATTTAGTCAAATATTTTTCGATAATAAATTCGGAGTTCGATCAGAGAATGGACTTATCTTTACGATACACCCAATATGTGTTTGCATGACCTGCTAGAAATATCGTTTTTGTGATGAGTGAATATTTTTAATTAGACCGTAAGATGCATGAAAAAAAAAAAGTGAATGAAAATCTTTTCGTCAAAATCTTTCATCGTCGATGTTTAGACTAGTGCATGCCAAATAGGATTTGTAAGTGTGCAACAGATGCAGTATTGTAACTATCTCAATCCCCGTACCTACCAAACCTTGGGAGCAATGAGTGACACTGATTCCCGGATTAAGGCGCGCATTGATCCTCATGTCTGTGCCGCACACACGTCAGCTGTTTAACTGAATAATCAGGGTCAAAATGTCATCGGAACTGTATCATCTCCTGAGTGGAAAAAAGCGATCCCTTGGCAGTTCGATGAGTAAAAATAAAAATTACATTAGCCTCAACCGGCTGAGGAAGTTTTTCCTCGCAAAAATCACTTTTTGCCAAAAAGAAAACGTCGTCTTTTACGACTGCTAGAATCGGAATAAATATTGGTTAATTTTTTTCGTTACTATTATTAACCGGATGTGTATATAATTTGTATATTATATTTTTATTTAATTCATTAATTTATTTAGTTAATTATCATTATATATATGTATTATATTATTGTATATCTTTATTACAACATCATATAACTGTATTTATACTCCGGGCCAAAAGTTCAGATATACTTAGAAAAAAAATCGAATTTTTGGAATTGCTTATTCAAATATCCATAACAATGTGTTTTTTTTTTTAAGTAATAATCCTTTAAATCCAACAATTGTTATTGTAGGATCTGAAGAATTAATGATATGCTAAGAATCTTTGTCTCATTGGAAGGAATGACGAATCGACATCTTTTTAAATATTTAAATAATATCTTTGATAAACGATGTGCGTATGAATATTATATAATACATACTTCAGGCTAAAAGTTTAGGAATATTTTTTTCGAAATTGACATTTTTCAGATTACTTTAACAATAAAAAGACACATCGTTCATATTTGAATAAGTAATCTGAAAAATGTCAATTTGAAAAAAATATTCCTAAACTTTTAGCCTGAAGTATGTATTACATAATATTCATACGCACATCGTTTGTCAAAGATATCATTTAAATATTTAAAGAGATGTTGATTCTGAATTTTTCGCAGAAAAGCGTGCATTCGTCATTCCTTCCAATGAGACAAAGATTCCTTAGTACAGTTGATATAGCAATTCTAAAATGAGAAGTGGGAAATTGATCCGGTGTGATGCAAAGACGGCGCGCGTCCGTGCTCGTCACGTTTCCCCGTTCGCGATAGTTTCATGATAGTCTCCGACATGGACTTCGCGAGAAATCCAACGGGAAATAATAGGGATGTATTTCGGGACCCCGCAGGCGGACCGTTGACCCCGGCGGGACATTTACGGGATTCCGCGACGCCGCGCCAACCTCGGCTTCACCATTCGCGCGCGAGCAGTAATCTCGACGTTCCAGAAAGATCCGGTGGACGGTGTACTTACAATAGTTCACGATACTACCATTGTCAATTTACTTATAGTCGTGCCGTATGGTTGTACTAGTACGACTATATCGACATGATCTCATGAATCTTGCACTCGTTCCGCGACGATCGATCCCCGAACCGGCGCGAATCGCGTATCTACGGCCGCCCGATATATAGTATATTCAGTCCACTTACACACCACTCGATACATTAGTCCGTTCACATCCGGCTAACATTGAAATTCGGAAACCACCAGGAAGTCGTCGCCGTCGTTCGATCGTGTTTGCCATCGCCAAACCGTTTCTGTACTTATGAATCCGGGCGTTTATTCTAATTGAAAGACACATTCAATCCGCTTTGGAAAGCATCCTGAAAAATCACTTTTTATACACTTTTTCAAAGCGCTTATAAATGAGTGCTGTTTAATTCAGTAGCTTCTCAGATTTTTGTCTTTTGGCTTGTAGTTAAATTTCTTCTCATAAGTCTTCAAATATGTGTATATTTAAGTTTTATTTAAAAAACGTTAAAAATTATCTGTATTCCACAATATAGTAATAAATATATCGCTTCCTCATGCCACTTCAAAAGTGACGTACATAGCTAAAAAAATATAGTAAGTAAATATTATTCTGTTAATCATTAAAAGTGCACGGAGAAAAAAGATTTTGTTAATTTAACAAGCCGCTAATATCCATAAAAAATTTCAATTGTAGATATAATGGCAATAAATGTGCCGATATCGAAAACGAATATGATTTGTGATTTTTAAGGATGCAGGGAAAGTGACAAAAATGACATTTGATCATATTAAGAATATATATATATTTTTTTTTTTACCGATATTATTTGATTAGTCAATTTTTTTTGCCAAATCAAAAATATAATTGTGTCACTTTTGAAGTAAAAGAATGATATGCGATTTATACACGTCTTTAATAAATTAAATTAAATAAGATAAGCACGCGGAGAGTGCGTGTTTTAAGATGAAAACATTATCCTGCGTGACGTGATCAACGTCATCATACGATATCATACGATATCCACGGGTTTTACTGCCGGAAATGTCCTTAATTACAATTCAACCTCGATCGGGAGATACTCCGTTGCGTTTATACCTCGGTTTATACTTTGCGTAAGGAACAGGCATCGAGGCTCGACTCGTGCTGTTTACCGCGGAACAATGGCGAATCGACATGAGGGAAGCGGCTGTCAAGGACTAGTATACAGGTACGAGGACCTCGAGTCACGCTCGGGTTCCTCCTCTGCGAGCGTCTAATTGCTTGGTCGTTCCGGGGCGTGAGCGGGTGGACTTGGAATCCTCGTTTCTTGGGTCTCGGTGCATCGAGGTGAAATCGACAACTCTGCACGGAGAAAAATATTTGGTTGAATCAACTGGAATTGCGGTGGAAAGCGAACGATCCAGAATTTCTAGTCAAGTTTACTAGATTTCTGGTTAAATTTACTAGAATTCTGGTAGATTGGGAATTAGTTATTTCAACTGGAATTCTGGTAGATTTAATCAGAAATCTAGTAAACTTAGCCAGAATTCTGGATCATTTGTCTTCCACCAGAATTACAGTTCAATCAAATATTTGAATTTTAACACATTAGAATCACAGTCAATCAAATATTTTTTTCCGCGTGTCGTTGGAATTTTTGAAATCAAATATATTAAATAATCCTTGAATTGCGAGAAATTTACTCAAATTGATTTTTGAAAAAGAAATTCATGTCATAAAACACACAAGCTAAGTAAAAAATATTAAAAAATTATTAATGTACACGTATTATTATTAATTATTAATGCGAGAAGTTTTCGTTACGATATCTAACTTGGATCAAAATTAATCAGATACAATTTTTGATAAATAAGATTAAAAGAATCTAATTCAAAATTATAAAACAATTCCAACTAATTAATAAGTAGATAGAACTTAATTCTAATACGTCGATGATGACGTTCATAAATCCGAATAAATAATTTTAGTTAGTTTCATAAATTAAAAAGATATTTTAAAATATTTTAGCGCCCTAATTATAAGAAATTCTTCTTGTTCTTACATGGCTTTATAGCCCTTTAGGCTGAGCCTTAGCCACTTTGCTCACA